ATCTCCATCCTCCCTCAGCACAGGAGGTTCCTGAGGTTTTCTTTGGGGCAAAGAACACAAGTATCAGGCACTTCCTTTCGGTCTAGCTCTATCACCCCGCACATTCACGAAGTGTGTAGACGCAGCTCTGGCCCCGCCAGGCTGCAGTGTATACGCATTCTGAATTGCATAGATGACTGGCTGATTCTAGCGGAATCAGAACAGTTAGCGGTTCGGCACCGAGGTGTCGTTCTCGCTCATATGCAGATGTTGGGGTTGAGGCTCAATGCCAAGAAGAGTGTGCTTTCTCCAGTACAGAGAACCACTTTCCTTGGTGTGGTATGGGATTCAGTGACGATGCGGGCCACTCTGTCGCCCGTTCGTGTAGCTGCTATCCTAACAGCCACAAAAGAGCTGAGGCTAGGCCAGTCACGCACTGTAAAACAGTTCGAGAGACTGTTGGGTCTTGTGGCAGTAGCGTCCAATGGGATACCTTTTGGCCTGCTGTACATGAGACCTTTGCAGTGGTGGCTCAGGACCAGAGGGTTCTCCCCGAGGGGAAACCCACTTCGTATGATCAAGATCACGCGGCGGTGCCTTCGTGCCTTGGTTATATGGAGGAAACACTGGTTCTTAACCCAGGGTTCGGTGTTGGGAGCTCTTTGCCATCGAGTTGCTATCTCGACAGATGCTTCCCTCACCGGCTGGGGAGCTGTATTGGAAGGCCGCTCAGCTCAGGGCTTGGGAGGAGTCATCATCTCGCTTGGCACATGAATTGCCTAGAGATGATGGTTGTCTTCAATGCGTTGAGACATCTCCTCCCAGACCTGAGGGGCCATCATGTGTTGTTCTGAAACAGTGACTGTTAGGCCTCAGGGCAGCAGCGTTCAATGTGATACCCTTTGACCTGCTGTACGTGAGACCTTTACAGTGGTGGCTCAGGACCAGAGGGTTCTCCCTGAGGGGAAACCCACTCCGTACGATCAAGATCACGCGGCAGTATCCCCGCGCCTTGGTTATATGGAGGAAACTCTGGTTCTTGACCCACAGACAACACGTTGGTGGCCTATTATTTTGGTCCCTCAGGAAATTACGCTGTCTGAGGGCAGTGTATATTCCAGGGGGGCCAGAATATTGGAGCAGACACCCTGTCGAGGCAGGGGCTGAGGCCAGGGGACTCCACCCCGAGGCGGTGGAGCAAATATGGGAGTTTTATGGCTAGGCAGAAGTGGATTTGTTCTCGTCTCAGCATACGACGCACTGTCCACTCTGGTTATCCCTCACTCAACCAGTCCCCTCGGGGCTGGTTGCTATGGTGCAGACGTGGCTGAGGCTACGTCTGTACGCATTTCCCCCTGTTGCTCTGCTCCCAGGAGTTCTGGAGTGATTCCGCCAGGATGGAATAAGCCTATTTAGTAGCACCACCCTGGCCGAGCTAAATTTGGTTTGCGGACCTGTATCAGGTCTATGTCCTTCCACGCTTAAGGTATACGTGGCGGCCATTGCGGCTTTCCACGCCCTGGTGGGTAGTACATTTTTGGGTCGAGACCCCCTGATCACTGGTTTCCTTCGTGGCACTTTGAGGCTGAGGCCTGCAACTTGCACTAGAGTGCTGGCTTGGGACCTTGCAATAGTTCTAGAAGGCCTATCTGGGGCTCCCTTCGAGCCCTTAGATTTGGTCTCAGAGAAGTTCCTTTCTTTTAAGACTATTTTCTGCTAGCTATTTCGTCCCTATTAGAGTCAGACCTTCAGGCCCTTTCGGTCCCCACCTGCCTTGAGTGCACCGGGGATGGCCAAGGCATTCTTACCCGAAACATGGATATGTTCCAAAGGTGCCTACCATTATTCCGAGGCCTATTGTGCTGCAGGTTTCTGTCCTCCTTTTACATCTGCGGACCAGGAAAGGCTGAACCTCTTGTGTCCAGTGCGAGCACTGGATACTTATGTTCATCGGACATCTTAAATGAGGAAGTCCGACCAGTTATTTATTTGCTTTGGATCACCTAAGAAGGGTCTTCCTGCTTCTAAACAGACGGTTAGTAAGTGGATAGTTGAGGCTATTTCACTTGCATACGAGTACTCTGACCAGCCGTGTCCTTTGGTGGTCCTCTAATAAGGCCTCTAAAGCCTTATTATTTGGAGTTTCTCTTCAAGACGTATGTGATGCGGCAGGCTGGTCCTCACCGCTCACGTTCGTCAGGTTTTACAGTTTGGACCTGGATGCTGCCCCAGGTTCTCAGGTGCTTAGTGCTTAGTTCCAACAGACTAACACTCAGGTACTTGGAATTCTGGCGTTTTGGGTATTCTCGTTCCCAAAGCGTCGATGACGCATCGCGAGTTCCCTCGAAAGGGAATGTCTCAGGTTACGACTGTAACCATAGTTCCCTGAGAAAGGGAACGAGACGATGCGTCACCCTGCCATACTTCCTGCATCCCTGTGATCGGCTTGCTTCGACTTTTTGAAGCTAATGCCGCGTTTCACCGGATGTGCTCTTATGCCTTCCTGGTCATGACGTCACCCGCCCGTGACGCTCATTCTTTCCATTGGACTAGTTGACATTGATGCTCAGACGCATTCACGCTGGGGGCGTTCCCAAAGCGTCGATGACGCATCGTCTCGTTCCCTTTCTCAGGGAACTATGGTTACAGTCGTAACCTGAGACGTTTTCTCACAATATATTTAAGCACCTGAAGTTGTCATTCTGATTTCTTGAGGATATTTTTCATCACTGCCTCGTGATTTTACAAATAATTAAAAAAAAAATAATAATAATAATTGGAACTGATTGTGACATGCATTTTCTTATTTTACTGTGTCTCTATCTGTTTTTTTCTCACTCCATTCTGAGTGTGTTTGTGTATAGTAAACTCTCTGACCCATAAAAACTCTCAGGCTGAGAACTTTGAACAGCCGTAGTACACGCGTAGTGTGTGTGTGTTTATGAGAGAGTCTGGCAAGAACACGTAGTCCCCTTCAGGAAAGGCAAGGAGCACAGCCAGCAGGCAGGGGAACATTTTATACACATACTCAGACTCATCCTCCTCCAACACCAAATTAGAACATTGGCCTCCATGACTGTCCAAGGCGAGTCTGAAGCATGCCTGCAATGAAGCATTCCACACCTACCACATGACTCAGCCTTCATTTCACCACATATTCTGCCCCGGGACAGTGAGGCCCAATGTTAAAACCAGACCTGTTCTTTGTCCAACAACGAGGATCCAAGATGCAATCTGTCATCAGAGCGTCTAACGTTATAACATGTTGTGCATTTTAAATTTGTGAAGGAAATAGGCTGCTTTTCCAGATGTGTTGTAAGGAGACAAGCATGCTGGGTTTGGCAGTGTCATTGCCTGTCTCTGATTGGTCAATTTGCTCATCCAATCCTGGGATTACTTAGCTCTCCACCCAAAATCGATGAAAAAACAATGAACTCGAGAGAAAAAGTGAATAAGAAAGAATGAGAGAAAAATAGTGATGCCCAAACATAAACTTGTAAACAAAAATCCAGTCTCTCCCTTTCTTTCTCATTCTCTCTCACACACACGGACATAATCCTTTCTCCTTGCTTTACAAAGAATGTGGCATTGTGTTTGAAAGATTTCTCTGTAGGGGGAATGGAAAGGCCCTGGTCATGTGCTCCCTATTCAGAATATACACGCATACAGTAAATAATATTCTTTAAAGGGAAAGTTCACCCCAAAATAAACATCTGCTGTTGTTTACTAACCCTCACATCATTAACTTGCATGTTTATAACATTTTCAGTGTAAAACAATAATACAGCCCCGAAAGTTTACAAAAACAAACAAACAAACAAACACCAAAAAGTAGCCTAGTCGAAGTTAATATTTTTTGAGCATATTTTTCTTTTCTTTTTTATATATTATTGATAGTTTTTTTTTCTGATAGTACATGATTTACTATATTCAGATAATTTTATTCAGTTGACATCTCTACTTTTTAACAGTAAAAAACAATTACTGTATATATATATATATATATATGTTTGTTATATATATTATATATGTTGTTTTTTCCCTTTTATTAATACATTTTGAATGTATTTTTTCTTACATTGCACATACATAGTTTCTCCTTGCCATTGCCACTAACTTGCTTACTGAGGATTTATAAGGAAATATTTTCATTAAAAATGCTTTTCAATTTTAAAATTCTTACCGACCCCAAATTTTAAGGGAAAAAATACAGTATATATATATTGCAGTTACACTTTATTTTAAGGTGTCATTGTTACAGTGTAATTATATATTTAAGTACTGAGTAATATTAATGAACTACATGTACTTACTATAGAGTTAGGGTAGGATTAGGGTTTGGTCGAGGGTTAGTTGCATGTAATTATGCATAATTTATTGTTATTACTATGGCAAGTACATGTTACAATATGTAACAAGGACACTGTAAAATAAAGTGTTACTTATATTGCTATATGCATTGCTTCTATAGTCTGTACAATGGGCTCTGATCAGCCAATCAGAAGCCAGTCTATATCTGTGCAGTTAGATCCTGGATTGTGACTCAGAAGTGGTTCAGAGTTTGGCTCACTTATTACATTAGTGATGAAGAGATCAAACTGATTAGAACCACTTATGTGCTAATTAGTCCATCACAGTTATGCCACAACCTCATTACTTCATTAAACACAAACCTTCAGCGCTCTATTACAGCTTGATTTCTCTCTCTCTCTCTCTCTCTCTCTCTCTCTCTCTCTCTCTCTCTCTCTCTCTCTCTCTCTCTCTCTCTCTCTCTCTCTCTCTCTCTGTCAGAAGCACATGTTTTGTTTCAGGATGCCTTTGTGTCAATTATTTTAATGAAAGATTGTGGATTGCAGTATTATGTCATAAGGAGTAAAGTAAATAGTGAATCAAACTCAGTGTTATTGCAGTGAATAGATAAACTGATCCTTTTATACCATGTGTTGAATAGTCACGTTTTACTATCATGAAAACGGGCCTAGAGTTCACGACTGAGGAACACTGTGTGTGTATTTTTACAGTGCTGAAAAGACAAGTGAGCCCAGAGGAACTTCAGGCCCCTGGTGGACCTTACATAAAGAAGACATTCACAGTAAGTCACCCCCACACACACACACATGCCAAATGTGCATAGACTCCAAGATCTAATTGCATTATTAAGTATGTTTGGTTCAGAAAATCCATTTGCATGGAGGAAAAAGTTCAAGACTAAAATTAGCAAGAGGACGTTTTTCCTCAGATGCATGTAGAGATGATCCTAGCCAGGAGTAATTTAAGATCCCATGAAAGCTGATAATGTGTGTCCTCAGCTGTCAAGTATCTGGACAAGACATGAATTTTCAATGATTTGGTTTCACTGTTAGCGTCGTTTATCGTGTTGTTTAGAATTAATAATAACCAAAAAACAGTGCCGAATGCATTTTGCTCATCGCAATTTCATCTCTATGCTGGGATTGCACAATATGCGTGGTACCTTAAATAGTTAGCATGCTTGGATGTATATGTTTGCAGATTGTGGGAGACGCAGTGGGCTGGGGATTCGTGGTGAGAGGAAGTAAACCCTGCCACGTCCAGGCTGTGGATCCCGGCGGACCTGCTGCAGCAGTGGGAATGAAGGTACAGTACTCATCCTGCAAACATGTATTATAGTGAGAAAATGTCCAAATTGATCATTTTATTATCTTATTCCGGAGGGATGCACAGATTTTGAAATTTTGGCATACCAATAAGCCAATAAATATTTCCATATTATGGAAACCCACTCTGACATGACATGCGCTCCGACATGCGCTCATGATTTGTCCAATTTTCATGTGAGGAAAATCCAATGTTTTCATGGTCCCACCACAATGTTCAAGACTTGGTTTACCAACAGAAAGCTGCTTGGATTGAAAGTGATAAATTGTACTTCATACATCACTACATTATTGATAATATACCTTTTTTTTTTTGGTTAACATTTCTCTGACCACATCTTTAGAGTTAAAGTTGTCTTCAAGAAACAGGGTTAGAGTTTTGCTATAATATATTGGCATCAAGTTAATGCTAGATTATGATCCAAGAGATAAGAGATTACAAAATACCCAACCTCATCAACCTTCCCAGTTATTTAGGTTTGACCTTAAGCACAGTACACTGAGTGGAGAGATCATAATGTCCACTCAGAATATAGTCCGTTTGCCAGATGTTTTTTATGCTGATCCAGGCGAAGACACTTAATTCCTACTGAAAGTGTGTGTATGTCTAATTTACTGTTGTGGCAGATAGAATAATACCTGCCCTCCCTCCTCCTTTAAACAGTTCAGCATTCAGCAGCCATGACCCTAATTTACAGCAATTATGAACCATTACAGTTATGCAGCTTTAAAAAAAAAAACACTACTCCCACTGTATCTTTTCTGAATGCTCGTTAAATAAGGTCATGTTTGCAGACTGAGTTTATGTGCTCAGTGCCGAGACCATAATGCTGCATCTGATTCTGCAAGCCCAGCTCACAGCTCTTTTTACTGTAATGAACATTGAAATTGTGATGAAAATCACACCAAATGAGTAAACAATATGGTGAAAATATTTGCTATTCCATTAATAAAATTGTTTCATTTAGTATTGAATATAATTGAATAAGTGAATGTTTAGCAATTTCAAAATTGTTTAGTAATGTTGGAAAATGTTAATTGGAAAATAAAAATAAACACTTAAATATATAAAACTATTTATTGACCTCTGAAATCTGTCTTTTTGAGGTTGATTCATTCCCAAATAATTTTTTTAATTGTCCATATAAATCGGCCTCTAAAAGTTTTACACAACTGAACAAGAGAATGTTTGGATATTTAACTACTTTTTATTACAAAGAAAAGTTATATTATATTATATTTAGGGCTGTCAAATGATTAATCGTGATTAATCACATCCAAAATAAAAGTTTTTTTTACATAATATATGTGGGTGCACTGTGTATAATTATTTTGTATATATATATAAATACACACACATGCTTGTAATATAAATATTTTATATATAAATAATATTTTTTTCTTAAATATACATGCATGTGTGTGTATTTATATATATATACAAAATAATTATACACAGTGCACCCACATATATTATGTAAAAAAAACTTTTATTTTGGATGTGATTAATCGTGATTAATCATTTGACAGCCCTAATTATATTACATTATATTATTAACAAGGACTACCCTTTAAAAAGTAATTCAGAGGACCTATTATCACAACTTAATAAAATGCATGGTTGTCAGATTTAATTAAACATTTTAAAATGCAAACATTGTATTATAATAATGATGATCATTACATCAACTTAATATTGTGTTGAATTTAAATGGACAATTCTGTATTAATTGTTTGTTTACTTGTTTGTGTCTTAGATTAAGACGTAGCAACTTAAAGGGCATATTGCAGGTTAGAGGACCCAACGAGTCAATGTATAGGATGAATTGCATCCACTGAATTATCCAAGTGGATGCTGCACACTGGTGGTGGTTGAGGAGACAACCCCTGATATGATTGTAAAGCGCTTTGGGTGTACAGTAGTGCATATGAAAGCGCTATATAAATGCCTCATTCAGCCTCATTCATAGAAAAATAATGTAGGAACTAGATTTTCTTTAAAATATACTTATAGATACGCTAAAGAAGCTTCTGGAGTCGTTTTTGTGAATTTTTTTTACTTCCGCATCTGAAAATGGGCGTGGCGGGCGTGACGTAACGGGCGGGAGAGCGGTCGATTCAAACAACAGGAGAACAATGGATCGCAATGACATTTCGGACACTGAGGAAATACTTACTCGTATGACAGACCACAGCCATACAATTATGAGCCTGCTATGCTGCCAAAAGAGCAGGGACAGGCCAGGGTTAATGTTAGACAGAACGGTCGGTCAGAGACAAATTGAGTTGTGGTGTGAGGAGAACCAGTGGAGAACAGGACAGGTGTCTTGGTGAGAGAGACCAGTGTTAGCTTATAGATATATACACGTTCGCTAACGATATACACTGCTCACAATATTGTACAGATTATTACCATCGTATATCAGGCCAGCAGACATTAGTATGATTAGGGTATATACTATTAAACGTAAAAAAACTATACTTGAGTATATTTGTATTGTACTAAAAACATACTCAAGTACATTTTTAATACATATTTTTCACCTGGGTTATAACATATACAGAAAGTTTTTGCAACCTCCACAAACACAATCATTTACCATGACGATGATAAATTGAAATACAAAAACTACCGAAAACACACTGACTGACGACCGCTCTCACTGAATACCAGCCTACTCTGAGCTGAGGCTGAGGCTCCCTGGCGTGACGTAAAATGACGCAATGTTGGAAAAAAAAGCCGTTTTTACCAGCAGTCAAAGAAACGCTCACTTTATCTACTAAATTAGTGCCCTTATGTCGTTTTAAAACATTTTAAATCCTGCATTAACTTTTCATATGGTATTTTCATACAAGGTTATATATTAATTTTAAGATTTTTTTTTTTTTACCTGCAATATGCTCTTTAATGAAAATTTATAAACTTTGGAAATTGGGCAGTGCATTGCTTTGCATGTTAAAATTAAGTGATATTTTATGTTTTTTTAGTAAATGTAAATAAATACCTTTTAGTTTTTAATGCTGTTAATAGTTTCTGTTGTGTTTTGTGCTGAAGATTAGAGCTTGGTATGTTGTGAGTGGCGACATCAACATTGTATGTAGTTCTATGAGCAATCACTGCACTAATTCCAGTGACAAGTATTATCTTTCTTGTTCTAAAATCTATCTGTTAAATAAGTTATATTTAGCGTGTGCTATTTTAGCTGTGAATTTGAACTGATATAGATAATATCAATTCCTTTCAGGGACGCCACTCCATTTATCAGTGAATTATGTTTAAACTAGTTGGAACAACTAGATTTTTCTTAGTAAACCTAAAAAATGTGTTTACACTCAAAAATTAAGTTCATATAACTCAGTGTAGTTTGTTGGTTGAACATAATTTCATTAGAAGTTGTCACAAGTCAAAAAGCTTGATGTAAACGTTTTTCGTCAAACCAAAACATTTATTTTTAGAGTGTACCTCTTAGCAGGATATTACAAATGCTGGAGTTGTAGTCATGCACTAATGTACAGTACAAATTATGCCAAAACAGATCGTTTAAGCACAAAATGCCAAGCTTTTTTCAGATGTTGTTTATTTATCATTTGATGCTGATAACGATAACAGTGTGACTCATTTCAGATGGTAGTTTCATTATGGGTTTACCAGGAAGGACATAAAGGCTATAACGTTATTCATTTGCAGAACCTCTCCAAGAGTTAATATAGCTGATTTTAAAAAGCACTCCTCTACCGTTCTCCTGAAAGGTGTAATTGTGTCATGTTGCTGCACTGAGAGAGATTACAATCTGTTTATTGTGTCATATATGTGGTTTATATGCTCCATATTCATTATGTTGTTTTTCAGCACTTTTATGTCTTTATCAAAGTACAAAAAGGGTGTAACAATTATGAGTAAACATAAAACTGCAATTGTTTTGCCTCATTAAAGTTTTCTCATGCTCATCTCTACAGGTGTGTCAGTTTGTGGTGGCAGTTAATGGGATGAATGTGCTGAGTCTGGACTACAGAACTGTCAGCAACCTCATCCTCACTGGTCCCAGAACAGTGGTCATGGAGGTTATGGAGGAAGGGGAATACTGAAGACGAGCTCACAGACGCTCTTTATGTTTTTCTGTTCTTCTCTTTCTCTGGACTTTCCTCAGTGAGTGTTTAATGGAATGTTCAGAGAAGTGAAATCTTGATTCCGTTCATCATTTTGATTCAAATTCATTAGTTTATAGAGCATGACACTAATCTGTGCCTCCCATTGGGTCCTCATTGACTGTTACCGGCCCATGTCAGTTGAGACTTTAACTGGACGGATTATATGGGAAAAGCAACTGCCAAATATCATTTTTAGTAGAACTGCGTGCAGCATTTAAAACACTCTTGGAAGATAGGTTTGCAGAACCAATGCCAAACTAATATATGTGTGCCATTCAGGTGAAAGCACAATTCAGTGCTCTTTTTCGACTGTTTCTTCATTCAGAGTTTAGGCTATGACCTTTCGAGAGTAAAGGATTACAACATTGTGTCAGGTTTTTTTTTTATACTTTGGTCACTTGATCGGAGTGGTGTGGTTAGTTTTAACTTACTATTTATATCCCTGTCATGCTTGCCGGGACTTAGTAAAATGATATATGTTGACATCCATCAAAATGCAGGGGACAACCAACAACAGCACTTACAGACTTTCAATGAAACTTAAGAGTGAATGTTTAAAACGTTGCGCACATCTGAAAGATGTTGTTGTACTGTAACTCGTCTTTAAGTATCTTGTAAGTTAAGCATATTTTTAGTATTTTGTGAAAGTAGTTCAAATTTCCTGTCTTTTGTCTAAATGCCATCAAATAGGCAAGTATAGTATTACCTGTAGCTTTAATGTTAATATTACATGACGACATTAAAAATATTACTTATAGTGTAGCGGCAGAAACATACTCTACGCAAGTGCGTGAACGAACATGCACGCTCTTGCGGGAACAAGCTGTAGTACTTAAAGAGATAGTTCACCCAAAAATTTAAATTTTGTCATTACTTACTCACCCTCAAGTTGTTCCAAACCTGTATAAGTTTCTTTCTTCTGTTGAACACAAAAGAAAATATATAAAAAAAAAAATGTTGGTAACGAGACACCCATTGACTTCCATAGTAGGAAAAAAAAAATACTATGGAAGTCAATGGATACCAACATTCTTCAAAATATCTTGTTTTGTGTTCGACAGAAAAAAGAAACTCATATAGGTTTGGAACAACATGAGGGTGAGTAAATGATGACAGAATTTTTATTTTTGGGTGAACTATCCCTTTAAGGGTGCAATAGAGTTGCATTCAAAAATCTCTCACTTTAACCTAATGTGTTATTATTCAGGAAAGTTGCTATTGACTTGAACTGTGTTCTGAATTGGTTCTGTAAGATTGTCTTCAAATAGTTGTTCTAGTAGGTCTAGTTAATATGTAAAAAAAAAAATTGACCTTTAAAAAAAACGTTTACGCTAATTTCTGCAATAGTCCGCGTTTTTGAGTTCCATTAGGCCCAGTTAACAAAAATGCTCTAAGAACGTTTTGCTATCGTTCCCATCAAGTTATGTAAATGTTATTTCTGAATGTTCTCTGATTGTTTAAACCATTCCATGAATGATGTAGGCTATACGCACTACACAGTGTTGTAGATAACGCATTACAAGTAACGCAAGTGACGTAATCAATTACTTTTTTCAAGTAACTAATAAAGTAACGCATTACTTTTATATTTACAACAAAATATCAGAGATGCTTTTTCAAATAAGTTACACAAGTTACTTTGTTTTCCCATTTATTGACTGACATTCTCTCCTGTCCCCATGTTGAGAGAAATCGAGCGCTTTGTGTGCGCTGTATAAACATGATGGTTATTCTAGACTAGTTATAGACTAAATGTGAGCATGTATTTACTCATCTCACTTGCACAAAAACAGATTCAGTATTCCTTAAAATGAATAAAAACAGTAAAATGCAAACACGCAAACCTGCAATAATTAATGTTAAAAAATAGAAATATACTTAATGTATTTAATCTCACTTTATTAAGCAATGTTTTTGCTGCTGACCTTTGATGATCCAATTCAACTATACTAATAAGCACAAATGACTTTAGATAAAGATCACATTTGTGTTTCTTTTCTTTGTTTTTATTGCTGAAGTAAGAGTGTTGAACTTTCTTCTCCTGCGTCCTATTCTTCAGTGATCCAGAATTGCAGCACAGTTTGAGATGTTTGTTTGTTTGAGCTGCGACGTGAATTTGTATTTCCTCCAGCCTGAGGCTTATTCATTTCACTTTTGGTGTGAAAGGGCCTTTACATTTGCCAAAAAAAAAAAAAAAAACAGCCCAGCCCAGATGATAAAAAGTAACGCAAAAGTAACGTAATCCATTACTTTTAAAAGTAACTTTCCCCAACACATAATGTTTTTGTGCCACCTTGAGAACATAATTAAAGAACATATAGCCTAACTTTGAACGAATATTCTATTAACGTTACTTAAAGAATGTTTTTGTTCATAACGTTAGACGAAGTCTTGAGAACATTCCCTGTTTTCTGGGGAGACATTTTGGAACACAACAGTGAGCGAAACAGTTTGTATATCTATACACGATTTCACTTACTTATTAGCTGTAAAACGTATTACTATGAAAAAGTCTAATTTAGAGTAGTCATAGAATAGCAGTGTATTAAAGTAAAAAGCAATGTTAAGACCGTCTATGAATTCACTCACCAGTGTTACTAGATTAAGAAATGCATTTCTTATTCTATATAAGGCAAATGGGAAATATACAGTAGTGCTGTATGTGTGAACTCCTTTGTGTATTGCAAAGCAGTCATCTGTGCAAAAATGACACAATATGATAATGTGCTCATCTTTTACACATTCCTCACTGCGGATACTTTTTTTTGCAGGATGCTTATTGTGCAATTGTACTCATTTGTATTGATGAGAATGACATTAACAGTCTCATGATCATCTTTTGTTTTAATGGAAAGTAAGTTTGAAATTTCTGTCTTAAAGACCTGTATTGTGCTGCTAATTCTCACGGCGGGTCACGTAACATCTCTATGGATATACCACGTCCTCTATCAAAGGTGTAAGTGAAGATTTTGGGGGTGATCATGACAATCAGCATCAGGGTAGTCTGTTAAATACTGGTCCAGATATGTGCCACATATTCCCTACCTAGGGGAAGTATAAGCTAATCGAATAATCGTGTAGTTAGTCTATTCTGAAATAGAATAAAAAGGAGAGTTTTATTCAGAACTCTTTGGGTTTAGTGTAACTGAGTTCAATGCACGTGTTTTTAAGGAATTAAGCTCATGGTACCATATTGCCTATTTGTATTTCTTCGTGCAGCTCTAAATCATGATTAATGTGTGTTTGATTAATGGCTTATTAAACGCCTTGATTTCATTAAAAAAAAACGTCTGTCTTCTGTGTCTTGAAACCGCATAATTCTCACAAATCTATCTATGGCACATGCTTATAAATAACATATTTTATAATACATTTCTAATTTAAATTTATTACAAAATTTTCGATCTGACATATTAAAGGTTATAAAACTTCAAATATTCGGGTTATTTACAGTTATAAATTAATATTTGAATGCCATATTTTCAATCTGGCCTCAGGCTTTTAGATCCTACTGTATATTACTGTATCGAACTATATCTACACACATGCTCATAACCAGAGACAATAACTGACATAGCCTACTACCAAATGCACTTTGTGTGAAGGAAATGTGATGACGTAATGCTATTGACCTGAATGATTTAGGTTTGCTAGTGCCACCTGTTGGTTAAAGAGATTTCGCGCATTTTTCGCAACATTCGAGCCCCGACCTTTATAAATATAATTTTTTTTTTTAATTAATTAAGTTACTGTTAGATTTTTTAGATCTTTTATTTAGAACCTTTTTTTGAGTAACAGTAGATCTAAAATGACTTGTCCAGTTCTTTGTCGTATCGCTAGAGGGCAGTGTTACTCTATGCCTCGTCTAATATGCTCGCCTACATTAGCTTCACTTTAGTTCTGTTGTATTAAAAGTTAAAATATTGATCGTCAGCAGCCCAACACAAAGTCAAGATGACATTCCTTTAACGGACCTTCTGGGTAATCTTTTTTGCTAACAACAGGTTATAAATGTTCCACTTTTGTTATTTTCTGCCTACATGACTCCTACCGAGACAATGCATCATTCCAATTCCTATTAAAGTGCTCATCTGTTTTAGTATATTAATATTACCTGTTGTCTGAATGAAACATACTGTAACCACATGAATTGTCCCTCCTATTTACTTCAAGCACAGCTTAAGTTTGCTCTGGCTGTAGGAGTAGATGAAGTGAGATGTGAGTGTTGATAGAAGGTGGTCTATTAAAGCAAAAGAGGACCTTGGGTAATTCCCTAGGCTACTCACTAAATGAGGTAAGAACAGATAAACAGATGTTTAACCTCTCTCTTCAGTCAACCATCCTACGTTGAGGCTGTTACTCGGGTTTAATAAGTAATACTGAGTTCGTTTTTTTCTCTAGCTAAGCTATTCATTGTTAAGGATCTAATGATCTCCAGCCATTTTAATCAAATTCGACAACATAAGAGCTACAGAGAACTACACTACAGCTACACAGCATAAGAGCTACACAAATAAATCATGATTACTGTGAATTAATTTAATGTGCAACTATAAACTATCCAGAAGTGCAACAAGTGCATCATTAAACTGCAGAAACATGACTGAAGTGATTTGAGTACTTCCGAACAGCCACATTATACCACAGAAGTGACCATGCAAAGGTTTATCTCCTAAAAGCAATGTTCTGCTGCTGGTTCCCAGAAGTGGGAGGGGAAGGGAGTCTAGATGCTTTCTTAGTTCAATAGGCCACACAGTTCACTGACAGCTGATGAATGAATCTTATCAGATGTCAACCGCTCCTTCCTTGGTAGTCCCTCAGTCTCACTCCACATCTCTAACCATCATGTTTCAAAGAAAAAAAGCCATATTGCCTGTTTCATTTTGCATTTAACATAATGCATTTGACTATTAACTACAGGGCTCACAGAGAGAACATGAGGGAAAAGTTGCATAATTTTGCACCAATGCTTTCGTGTTCGTATTGTAGTAGACGTCTTTGCTCGGATCTCAGGAAAGGACAGACCACATACCCCTTGCACTTTTGTGAGCACGTTGCCCAGGCCGTTTATGCAAGATTTCATTGGCCAACAATGCAGTTATGCACACTGATTACCTTCACTGAGCGTCTGTGGAAAAATATTAACCTTTTGTGTTAATGATGAATCTTTTATGAAACCTCCTCACGGGGCCAATCACAGTGAGATGAGAGGACTTGCCAAATCTTAAAAATAAGTCTAACAAGGGCATGGCTCATCAGCCCCCTTCATACTACTCAAAAAAGTCTGGAAACCAGCCAGATTTACATGAATATGCAAAGCCGAGCTGTATTCCATGTCCTTCCAAGTTTGCTAAGGGATTCTGTAGGC